AATTACATTTTTAAATACTACAGTATAAAAAATAATATTTAAAAATATAAAAATAGGAGCCGACCAGTAGCGGGAGCATGGTCCAAGCTACCGGTGGTTAGGGCTCCAGAGATAGAAACCTCCTCACAATGCGCGCCGTTTCAAGGAGAACTGCCTTCTGTATCAGGCCCTTGACCCAACTGCCTAACGCTAGCCTCCTAAGGTGGTCGTCGAGGCTATTAGGGATTAACCCATTGGCCGACACGACTATCGGCACAATGATAGCCGAATCTACATTCCACATGTCGACAACCTCGTGAGCCAAATCAAGATATTTGATTTGTTTATCTTTTTCAGCTTTCACGAGGTTCTCATCATGAGGAATAGTGATATCGATTATCATCGTGCGGCGCACTTGTCGGTCTATCACCACTATATCAGGTTTGTTGGCTATAATAGTCCTGTCAGTGATGATAGACCGGTCCCAGTACAACGTGATATGGTCATTTTCCAGAACTGGGTCGGGCACATACTTGTAGTACGGTACCTCAGACTCAACAAGTCGATAGTGCAAAGCAAGTTGCTGATGGATAATCTTGGCTACTTGATTATGCCTATGCAAATATTCACTGTTAGCCAAACGACCACAACCAGAAATAATATGTCTAATGGATTCACCAGGACTATGACATGCCCGACATATGTCAACCGTCCCATCCTTAATTATATATTTCCGGTAGTTATTCGTAAGGATAACTTCGTCCATAATTGCACAGACAAATCCTTCAGTTTCTCCAAAGAGATTACTGAATCGTAGCCAAGACACGGACGCTAGAAAATCTACACTGGGCCCATGAAGGGCCCGGAAGAAGCGTCCGTGGAGCTCCTTGCTATGCCATACCTCCTTGCGATCATTGACGCTCAGTACCACAGGTTTGCGCCAGTTCTCTTTTGCCAAGGATAGCGGAGTGAATCCATTGTCCACCGCTGCTACTTCTCGATGCATACCCTCGTTGACTTTCAGGAAATATTCCCTGAGGCTGCACACCTCACGGTTGTGAAGGGTCTTAGCATTTAATAAGCCTCGACCACCACACTTCCGCGGGATGTACAACCTCATGACCGACGAACGAGGGTGATGCATGCGATTTGCAGTCAGCAGGGTCCGGACTCGTCTATCCAGGGTGTCAAGTTCAGTCTGTGTCCACTTGAGTATACCAAAAGAATACATTAGGACTGGCATGACCCAACCGTTAAAGGCTCGCACCTTGTTTCCGCCTGATAAGGAACTTTTCAGTACCTTATTCAGGCGACCAAAGAAGCGCTCCTGCAACGATTGTTTCATGTCCAGTCCATTAATGCCTAATCCTTCTGACATACCCAGGTACTTATATGTATCATTTGCGGAGAGTGATCTCAGCTTTGTGAAATCTGAGAGTTCTAGACCCTCAGATTCCACAATCCCTCCTCGCTTTACATGCATGACCGCACACTTGTCTACTCCAAACTCCATTCTGATGGAACTACTAAATTTTTCAGTTATATTCAGTAGTTCCATCAATTGTTTCTTGTTTGGAGCAAACAACTTGAGGTCATCCATGTAAAGTAAGTGGGATATAACTAGACCCCTCCTCCGCAAAGGATAGCCTAGCCCTGAATCCTCCAGTAGAGTACTTAGAGGATTCAAGGCCAAGCAGAACCATAGTGGACTCAGGCTGTCACCCTGGAATATTCCTCGTACTATCCTTACAGGTTCTTCATTCCCTTGGATTTGTCTACATCCCGGATAGCAAAGCACAGTGCTCCACTGCCTCATACATGACTCCAAGAAGGCGCGTAAACTTGCATGTATTTTATACAACTCCAGCACCTTCAGGAGCCATGTATGTGGCACAGAATCATATGCTTTTTTATAGTCTATCCAGCATGTAGACAAATCTTTTCGGGACCGACGAACCTGTTGGCTTACAACCATATCAATAAGGAGTAGCTCCTTAGTTCCACGAGACCCCTCCCTACATCCATTTTGAGATACAGACATGATGGAATTTTGTTCAATATGTTTTGTTATTTTTGTCCTCAAAATGGATGTAAGAAGTTTATAGACCGTTGGTAAACATGTAATTGGTCTATAATTTTTTGGCTCAGTGGAACTACCTGATTTATGGAGCAGGTGGGTAACTCCTGTTGTTAGAAATTGTGGTAACGACCCAGTTTCCAAAGCTGCCTGGAAGTGTAATGCTAAGCGAACGTGTGAACTCTTGAACCATTTAATCCAGAAATTGTGCAGTCCGTCCGGCCCCGGTGATTTCCAATTCGGGACCGAACAGGCTGCACTGGCTACATCAGAGGAGGTGATTTCTACCTCCTCCATCTCTGGTATAGTCTCACACCTTCGCTTAACATCAAACATCCAGTCACCTTCTGTGTGGCTAACAGGTACCGACCAGATGTTGCGCCAAAATGTGTTAGTGGCATCATCATCCGGTCGCCGCCCGTCAGCCACATCTTGGTTGGATCGTTCCCAATCTCTGTATACCCACCTCTGATCGCTTTGGAACATGCGATTCTGAGTATAGCGCTCCACTCTCTTTTTGTAACGTCTAATACGGTTTGCCCATGCATAAACTTTCTGCTTCAGGAAGTCGATGCGCTTATTATTATTATTATTATTGCATTTGATGTCAAAGCGGGGTTTTTGTCGGATTTACCTGTAAAATCCTTAACCCCGTAACCACCAGAAGTCCAGGCCAGCAATACATTTATAGCTCGATCTTCTGTCAATGAGCGGCGTCGATTGCTTACCATCATGTGATTCACCTGCTCGTTTGCAGGTCACGTGAAGAAATCATAACGACACGTATATTTATATATTATGTATAGAACCTATATACAATTACACACTTAAGCACGCACATAAGTCTGTATGTTCATCTATCATTGTTGTAATTCACTAGCGGGGCGGTGCGGGCCTCTGATGGCTAATGAAGGAGCTGATGGATGGTCGTGACCTTCAGTGACGTCACTTGAAGGGAAAGTGGCTGCTTCTAATGTAGAATTACATATAGGTACTGGTATATGCAGTATTAAGTACAATCAGCGACTTGGCCCGCGTTGTCGGGATTAAAATATCCTTGTGCGATATTCTAGACTATAACCTATTTCTGTACCAATTGGGATGATGACAGAGCATGAAAATTAAAAATTTAATTAGTCCGTAAATTAGGTAATTAAAAAATGTTAGACATGTATTTTTTTATTTTGTCGTTTAATAAAACAACACTTCGATAAAACGAACCAAAGTTTGGGAGTGGGGGCTAAAACCTCATTTCTACGTACTATATAAAATGTACATAGAAGTGACGTCACGCGACATTTCAAATCAATATATCGCCGAAAGTATTCGTTTCTGTCACAAATTAAAAAATACGTGTCTAATGATATAAAATAATCTACCAGACGGACATTAAAATAGAAATTAGGCATCTACCCTATTATCATCCAAATTATTTAAATACTTTTTTCGTAAAAGAGTAACAAACATACATTTTAAGTGTAAGCATTCGAGAATCGAACCTTTTGTTTTTGATGACGGAGGGAAACCTTCAAAAGGCGTTTAGCTTTTTCGGCAGAAAGACTGGGAAGAGTGTGGGATTTTTACCTCACTAAAACCACCCCGGTGGCCACCGTCAACATCTGTAAGGGCACCGGGTCCTCTAAAACAGACCTCCTCCGGAGCCCCCACAGTGAAACGCCTATTACAGCACATCCCTAGGGAGATGGGTGTCTCTTGAGCCTCGCTGTGCACGGCATTGTCAATTTCAATTTATCTATGAAAACATCAAGTATGTTAGGAAAAACCTACAGTTATTTGGTAAAGTGTCTGACAGACACCACTATCAAACTAGACATAAGGAAAGATTAAGTCAGCCAACTTTGAAATGGTAAGTCGTCCATGGGATTCTGTGTTAAATGTTATAACAGGCGGAACAGCTAAATGAAACTAAATTTAAATTATCTATAAATAAAACTGTATGTAGACAAGCATGTTCCAAAATTAATGATAGAACGGCGGCACGTGACCACTGTGATCCCAGACAAAGAGACTGCTACGTGCAGGACCCAAACCCGCTACGCGTTGCAAGGCAGCCGGTTGTCCAGCCACCGCACCAATCGTGCAATCAATTAGCTACTTCTGTTATTTCAATGTGTCAAAGTATCAAATTCCCGGTGGTACCTACCAGGTTATTTTATACTGATAGTACTTAACCGATGTTCCCAGATGATGTAGTGGTGTCCTACAAAAATTGTGTTTTAGTGTTAGAAGGAAAAATACCGGCTTATCTTGTGGGGCCGGTCGTAAAAAGTTTAAAGATTATGGCCGTGTCTAGAAACTCCAGTACACATGCCCTGGACATATCGCATTACATGTCGCCGTGTTTACATTCTGTAACAAGTTAGCAAGAAGAAAAATCACTCCAGGCACGATGCAGTAATACCAATAAAAACAAAAAAAAACACAAGACCATAAAATAAATAAAAGTTGTATCTACTATTCGTATTTTTATTAGCATATTAACTACAAGTTGTTTTATTTACTAAATTAAAAAATATACATTTAAAGTACTAACAAATTAAAACGAGGTACTCAAAATAAAAGAAAATTTTACAACGCTAAAATTAATTATAAAAAAGTACAAAAATAATTTAAAACCGAAACAAAATATGTTCTGAAATAAAAATAAAAAAGCATAACTTACTACTTCGTACCCCTCCGTTTTCCCGTAAGGACGCAACCTACGTAAGCGCGGCGCGTCTTGCGACTGCGATGAGAAACCATTGTACCGGTTGATCGGGGGGCGGCCACGGCGCCGGCGCGACTAGCAGCCGTCGTACAAAACGCTCAATTGTTTTTCGCGCTCATCGCAGACGCATGACACGCTGCAATAGCGTAAGTTGCACCTTAAGTTACTCATGTAAAGTAATAATATAATTAATTAAAGCATTATTTTTTGTTTCAGGTTACGATATAGGAAGACGACGAGTGCCACCATTTACCAAGTGTTCTTTACAAAAAAATTAAGATTAGGTAAGTACCACCTAAATGTGTTTTTTTGTTTGTTTACATACCCGTTACTTATAGAAGCGGACAAAGATAATGCAACAACAATTAACACAATTAATGGGCGCCATTGTTTCAACCATAAAAAAAGAAAAATCTTTCACCCGTTACTTATGAATCAGATGAAAAAAAAACCTTAAACAAGATCACATTTAAACTGTCAAACACCAAGCGGTCACCGGTGACCGCAACCTATTGTTCTATAATTGTGTCTACAAAACCGGAACTCGACGTGTTAAACTGTCAAACACCAAGCGGTCACCGGTGACCGCAACCTATTGTTCTATAATTGTGTCTATAATGACGGTACTTGACCAGTTAATAAAGAAATATAGCAATCTGACCTAGTAATTTATCGCGATTCTTAAAGCACTGTGTTAACAAAAAACAACTCTTTAAAAATGAAATCAGTAAGCGAAGCTAATGGTTTACTCGAATCAGTTAAACAGCTCACGAAAAATCTTGTAAAAGGTTTTACTTAAATACTTGTAATGTAAAAAGTTTATTATGATAACTTACAAACGTTTAATCTACTTAGTAAAGGCTGGCGCCAACGAGCAACTTTGGTCCGTTGAGGATAAAAAATAATTTCGATTGTGAAAAGGATCCACCGACAAATTGACCCACTGTATACTATTTTGTTAATATCGCCAACGATCCATAAGAGTTTACTGCCAGACGTTTTTTTTTAGGGTGGACAACCATCGAATGACTTCTCCCACCTTAGTGAGGCGAGAGGGAGTGTCAGACTCTTACTGACTAAAAACCACCCCGTTCCTAATCCTGCACGTCGAGCCGGAGCCCCGGTTACCCGTTAGGTTCTCCGCGGCATACATACATACAGTGAACTGAGAACCTCCTTCTTTTTTTAAGTCGGTTATATATCTCGAACCTTATCAGAATAAATAGGACAAACACAACAAGGGTAAAGGGAAATCCATTCAGAGCAAAAGAGTAAAATATACGTGATCTTATGTCCCTTAAGGTAAGCTAAATGCGGGTACCCATTTGTAGTTTGACCTCCAAATTATGAAGGAACCCTTCTTAAATATGATACTTTCTTCTTACAAATCCACTGTATTATTTTGGTACCCTCGGTAACTGGGTCAGCGTGTAGATCTTTTGCGATCAAACCGTCCCATAAAGATAAACTTATACACATCACTGATATCCTTTACAAACCGACGGATCTATAGTCTGCCGCAAAACCTCACCCATTTTTCACCCAAATAAACTCAAGTAGCAAAGCAAAATAGACCCTAACCTGCACAAATAAAATGCATTTTATTTTATATAGTTTAGCTCTTAAAGCTCTTTCGCCATTCGCTAGGGCAGCCATGTTTTAAGATAGAGTTTCGGATTTATGGAATAGATTATTATGTTTGGAAGGAAAAGTATTATTTATCACGTTAAACCTTTTTTGTTTAAGGGTAGGATACTAGAGGTATATTTAATAAAATACAAATGCAATTTGTGTAAATAACGATGAATGGAGGTTTTGTTTCAGCGGGGTAGGTAGCTGTTACCTTTCCTGTTAATATATCTTATGTTATGTTGGTTCAAGGAAAATAAACAATAATTTATTCGATCATTATTTTCGTACAATGTTACAAATGGTTTATATCTGTTGCCGTGATCGTAAGTTATTATTTATAGCGTTTCAACACTATTAATAATTATTTTTTGCTATTAAAATCTTCGAGTTAGTTTCATTGCGTTAGGTTTTTAACATATTCACTGCTGCTTTATAAGACACAATAGCAAAAACACATTTTGTCTTGCTAGAGCTTCATTCCGGCACATGTCAAATTAAATGAAAAGTCTAGACCGTGCAATCATACAGCCATGTTCATTTTAGTTAACTTTCGGTTGATTAAGTAAAAACGCGGGTTACTCACGTGAATATACTGAGAAAAGCTCTACTAGTTTCGAACCACAGAGGGGTTCTTCCTCATGAGCAGCGTGCGCGGTCGCGGCGACGTCGCGCAGCTCACTGAGTGAGCTGCGCGACGCTTTTCTCAGTATATTCACGTGAGTAACCCGCGTTTTTACTTAATTTAGTATGTCTCACGATAGTTATTATAAAAACTTTCGGTTGATTTTGTGAGAGAAAAAAAAATATTTTACGAGGACAAATCCCTCAATCTTCATCATTTCTGGTGACCCTACTTAAGGGCAGAAATAACACGCATTACGAGGGTCATAAACATTTATAAATCCTCAGCGGAATCACCGCTATCTGTATTTGTGAAGGTTTTATATCAAATATCTTCACGAACCATCCTCCAAAAGAGAAAGCAATGATGGCAAAAAAGATTTGTTGTGGCGATTCTGTGTTAAATGGTGGACATACATGGCACACAACCCTATATATATATAACATACAAAGTACATGTTACTATAAAAATTGTACTCAATATTTTAGAAATTTTCGCTCCCAATTTACATATTTTATTTATTTATACAATTTTTTAAGTGTGGGAGAGCCATGCTTCGGCTCTACCGAACTGATACCACGGCCACACAGAAAACCGACGTGAAGCAACGCTTGCGTTGTGTTTCGTCGTGTGAGTGAGGTTGCCGGAGGCCCAATTACCCTCCCGTTCCCCAATCTCCCCAATCCCTGAATCCCCAACGATCCTCAAACTCCTAGTCCCCAAAAGCTCGGTAACGCACTTGTAACGCCTCTGGTGTTCCAGACTTCCATGTGTCCATGGGCGACGCCGATGCTTACCATCAGGTAATCCGTCTGCTCGTTTACCGGCTTATACCATAAAAAGAAATACAAAAAAAATGCATTAAAAGAAATACGAGAAAGAAAATAAGCCTCTTAAAATTCTCGTTTTAACTGTCAGTCTTACTTAAGTTGCAAGCAATGGTACACAATAAAAGAAATATCGTTAAAACTAAGAGTACTTGTCTGAATGATTATTTTTTCAAATAAAAGCTGTTGATATGCAATAGGTAATTGCTTCATTTAAATATCTATTTCAATGAAGCTTTTCATTAAATTGCGATTTATCATCAACGTTACCTATTGTGTGATGGGTCAACAATTCATTTACAAATTGTTTTTATCTAGAGTACTGATGATTTTAAAATTTAGCTTTCATCATGACATATTTTATATACATTAGCATGAGCACCAAGCGTCACCTAGCTTCACTGACGGAGAGACTGACAGACTATTATTTATTTTGTATTTGTTGACGTTACAAAAGTACCAAATTATGGTTTAATTGAAGTAAATGTTTTGACTTTGACTTTACTGAGAGCTATATTGATGCATCTGGATGCTCATATTGATAAACAGCATTCTACGATGCACAACGTGGTGACTGTCACGCTGCTACTTACTGCTCTTGAATATGATCATACAGTATAGCTTGAAACTAGTCGAGTTCCTCATCAAAAATTTACGTGTGAAGGTGGACAAATATAATAATGACCAACAAAATATGTAGAATAGAATCAGGCGTTAGTTTGAGGAAATCAATGCTATTGTAAAAACTGTTTAATTACCTATATGTATTTAGTTTATATTCGAGTGGTTTGTTACGTGTCGTGTGTATGTTTTGTGTCGCATCTCTGGTGCATGAGCGTTTAGTTGCGAGCAGGTAGACGATACTGCATACTACATGCTGCAAATTCATTCCTACAGAGGAATAAAGACCAAATATTTACCCAGTTGTTAGTGCAAACCAAATATAAGGGATAGAGATATAAGGGTGGCTTAACAAAAGAATTCGTATGTCATTGTATGTCCATACAAGTTTGTCTTAGTTCACTCATCTCTCAAGACTCAATAAGCACTCCACAGAATGAGGAAACTGACCAACAAAACTTCACAAAGATTCGTCGAAAGACAAAATGTAATAAAGTTATACTTTATCGCGAAAAGTTTGCGATAAAAGACAGTCTTGTTGACAATGTACTGACAGCCACAACTTGGTCGTATGAAATACAAGTATAATGGCTACTGTAATAAACGAAATATCTGTGACAGACGAAATAGAAGTAACACAAACTGGTCAAGATAAGTTGAAGCGTGTATTGCCGATATGGTACCTACAATAATAATAAAGGATTTGTTTTAATAATCACAATCAACTCCAGACGTCCATACTGTTTACAATTGAGTGAGATAAATTAATCTTAATATCTCTTTCTGTATCTAGCTTAAGATTTTATTTATCTTAATTATGTCCAGACATTAAATAGCACAATCGTTATAACAAAAATATTACTGACACAATACAATTTTGTAAATGAAAACAATGCAACAAATCCCAAATATAATTTTATATCACAATAAAATCGTTCAAAATATTATCTACCTAGTCGTAAACGTCTTATTTACTACAATAACAAACAAACAAAAGAAATTTATTGTTCCATAGCTTATAAAAACAAAAAAAAAACAATTTTAAAAATTAAAACTGGCCATAAATATGAAAGTCGTTGCACAAAGAACGAATGTCAAAGGAGTTTGCATACAAGTGTTGCCAATGACAAAGACAATATGTAAGGATGAAATGCGGGATATAAATTTTTACTGGAGACATTCTATTTTGAGACGTTTTATCTTTATTTTATGTTGATTTCAAAATATGCCAGCTGGGAGAGATCTTGGAGCAAATTGCAAACATTTTGAAATGATTTCGTTCTATAAGCAAACAGAATACGAAATTAGCGTTTCATCGATCAAATGAGCCATATATCAAGGTCACAGAAAGTTACAATTCTCATTTAAATCTGCATACAAACAGCACTGTTTGCAGGTAACCCGGCACATTGTACATAGTTGCAAGTATAAGAACAGTCAAAATATTAAAATGTCGGGACTATTATTAGCACAGGCCTAAAAATTGGGCCGTCCCTTGTCCCGGTTTCACGGGACGTTGACAACCAGAGCGTAACCGCCTCAAATATTAACACTGGCTGTAATCGAGTCGTATTCACCAAAC